CCAATTAGAACATTCATAAGACCCAACTCTAACTTATTAAATCCAATGCACCCATGGCCCATCAAGACTCCCTAAGGGCCTATCAATGGCCTAATTTTCTAAATTGGGCCCAACCCTTCAAATGGGCCTTTTTTACAATTCTCATAAGTCCTTAGCCCAAAATGAAATAATCTTGAGTGGCTAAATATGGCCCAAAAGTCCCAATGCTTCTAATTCCAAATTCCCAGACCCAGAACTATACTCTACAGTGGAACACGGGGCTCAACAGTCCAGACCTAGTCTCCTAAGGCCCTAAAGCCCAATATATCCACTCTACATGTGTATGTGCGGCGTAACTGGCACATACACCCAACGTATGCTGGCCTTGTCCAAAACGGGGAGTTGACCCAGTACGCACGACGTACCAGGGAGTACGCCCAACGTATTGGCCAGCTTCCTTGGGACTTCATTCATGACTTAATCCAGTAAGTCCTTACATCCAAACTGTAGATCCAGGTCCTTTAAGACCTCCTAACCCATAAATTCACAAACTTTATGTGCTTGCATGCATGGTTGGGGTCAAAACATGATTTTGGTCTATTTAACAAGCTTCAAGACCAACTAGCACTTGCATGGTTGTGGCTTAACCATCAAGGTCCGATTTTTATGACCATAGATGCTTTTAAGAGTCCAAAAGGATAGCTCTTATGCTCTGAAACCATCAATACTCAATCATCCTGAACAATAGAGTCTAAAGGTGACATAAAATATTCAAATAAACAAATCTAAGCATACAATGGCCAAGTATGGAACTTGATACCTCAAAAGGGTCATAAGTGATGCCAATCTCTTGGATCTACAAGCTCTTGGTGGACCCTTGCTTCATCTTCAACCTCATTTCTTCCTTTCTCACTAACACAACACATAAACACTCTCAAATGGCTTCCTAATCACAAAGGCACACAAATATGAGCTAGGGTTTTTGTGGTGGCTATCTATGGGTGAAGGGAGGTTGAGCAAACAGGGGTAATGTTCTTTCTATAGGGAGTAAACCCTAAATTTTAGGGTTTAAGGGTCTGCACACGTACGTTAGGCGTACTCCTAGTACGTTGGGCATACATGCGTGGCTTCCATGGTTCATTCTCATGAATACGCTGAGCGTACATGGCATTGTACGCCCAGCATATAATGTTTCCTCAACCCACTTGTAAGGGCCCAAAGGTCAAGCCCAAACCAAACAATTCCACAATTCAATTAGTATTACAATATTAAATACCTGGAAATTCCCGGATGTTACAAAAATATATAAAAAAAAATTATTAATTATATACAAATTGTCGTCTTAAGGCTACAAATGACATTGCCGCTATATCACACCTAACATTATTTAGAACTTGTGTGTACTACACTGGTTTATTAAAAATAAAAATTTAATATAAAATTGTAAACATTATGTACTTTTTAAAATAATACTTTTAAATAAACACAAAAAATATAATGAATAAAATTAGTAATTCAGTATATACACTAATAAAAAAATATTGACATTTTAAAAAATGATGCGTGATATAGTGATTTAAGATTTAATTCTATGAGATTTGAAAGAGAAATGCAATAAACAATATTATTTATTCTAAAATTTAATAAAATGATCAACCTTACATATATAAATTTTGACTAAAATGTGATTTTCAATTTTAAAAAAAAATAAAAACACAAAAAAATGACAAGTGTAAAAAAAATAGTTAAAAAATCATAGCAAATGACAAACAATTATTTTCATTTATTAGGCTAAATTATTATTATTATTATTATTATTATTATTATTATTATTATTATTATTATTATTATTATTGGTTTCAAAAACTCTATGTACATTCACACTTCATACATACTTATAAAGCTATCATTTTTTCTTGAATCTTTATGCATTTAAAACCCTCTTTTTTAACTTCCTTTCACCACATTCATTTGAAACTTTCATGACTTTTCAATTTGTTTATAGTATAATTATAAATAAGTTAAATAATGTTCTATAAACAAGAAAGGGTGTTTTATTACAATGCCATCATCCCATATCGATGGTGAGAGTAAACAAGAGAATGTTTCCTCTTCTATAAATAGGAAAGGTTGTGAAATGTTTCAAAGGGACCAAACCATGAGAACTTCATCATGCCTACCTTTGTAGGATTTTGAAGGTATTATTTTGTGAGATTGTCTATATTGACAAATATTCAGTTAACTTTTAGAAGGTATATTGAGTTGAACCGGAGCTGAATCATTTTGGACCGATAAAGGAATCATTTTCCTTTCACAACAAACATTTGAAACTCCCATGATTTTTAAAATTATTTATAATAATATTATAGATAAGTTACATAATTTTATATAAATATAAAAAAGCATCTATCTAAACCTAAAATTATAACTGTTTGAAAAATCACTTTGATTCAAAAGCATGATATATATACAAACCGGGTTTCACTAGAAAAAAAAATAAGTAGTTTGGTATATTTAGTTGAATCGGTCCAAGTTTTATCTATCTGGACCATAAAAGAAGCATTTCCTTTCACTACATACATTTGAAACTCCCATGATTTTTCAAATTGTTTCCAATGATATTTTAAAAAAGTTACATAATATTATATAAATATAAAAAAACATCTACCTAAACATAAAATTATAATTGTTTGAAAATTCGATTTGATCAAAAGCACGAAATATATACGCATATTATATTTTATAAATAAATTCTTTTTATAATGAACTTTTAAATCTTGAAATATATATAAACAAACTTTCTATATTAAGTACCTAACTGAATTTATGATTTTAGAATTAAACAAAAAGTTATTCAATAAAAACTTACTTTTTGGGATAGCAACTTACGAGATTATAGAAAAATGGAACTATTGAACAATAAAGAAAGGGTAAACAAGAGAAATGGAATGAATTACTAAATAAGTTGAATAATGTTTTATAAACAAGAAAGCGTGTTTTATTACAATGTCTTCATCCCACATCGATGGTGAGAGTAAATAAGAGAAAGTTTCCTTTTCTATAAATAGGAAAAGCTGTGAAATGTTTCAAATGGACCAAACCATGAGAATTTCCTTATGGCTACCTTTTTAGGATGTTGAGGGTATTCTTTGGTGAGATTGTCTTTATTAGCAATTGTCCATTTAAGTTTTAGAATCCCGAAAATGGTTTTGAACAAGATTTTTTTTTAGGTTCAAACAGAGTTTCAGTTGAAAAACCGTTATGTAGTTTGGTATATTGAGTTGAATCGGTCTGAGTTTGATCAATTTGGACCGATAAAGGAAGCATTTTCCTTTCAGCACATACATTTGAAGCTCCCATGATTTTTCAAATTGTTTCTAATAATATTATAAATAAGTTACCTAAACATAAAATTATAATTGTTTGAAAAATAAATTTGATTCAAAAACACAAAATATATACAAACCGGGTTTCAATTGAAAAAACGTTATGTAGTTTGGTATATTAAGCTGAATCAGTCCGAGTTTGATCAATTTGGACCGATAAATGAAGCATTTTCCTTTCACCACATACATTTGAAACTCCCATGATTATTCAAATTGTTTATAATAATATTATAAGTAACATAATGTTATATAAATATAAAAAATCTACCTAAACATAAAATTATAACTGTTTGAAAAATCACTTTGATTCAAAAGCACGAAATATATACTCGATTATATTTTATAAATGAATTCATTTTATAATGACATTTTGAATCATTAAAATACATATAAACAAACTTTCTATATTAAGTACCTAACTGAATTTATGATTTTAGGATTTAACAAAAAGTTATTCAATAAAAACTTAATTTTTTATAGAGATTGCTGAAAAATGGAACTATTAAACAATAAATTTTCTAGATAACGTTTTATTTTATTATTTAATATTTTATTTAACAAAATGAAATTATTGGAAAATAAAGAAATGAGTTTAATTAAAATGTTTTCATCCCATATTGATCGTGAGAGTAAACAAGAGAATGTATTCTCCTCTATAAATACTAATAAGAAAGGTTTTGAAATATTTCAAAGGGACTAAACCATGAGATCTTCCTTCCATTTAACTTTGTAGGACGTTGAATGTATTCTTTGGTGAGATTGTCTTTGTCGACAAGTGACCAATTAAATTTTAGAATTTCGAAAATGATTTTGGACCGTATTTTTTAGATTTGGATCGAGTTTAATAAGGATCCGAGTGTCTTCTGGCTGAGTTAGGCAAACTCGCTTCCATTGGAAACCGAGTTTAAGTAACATGTCGAGTATTTGGTTGTGTTAAAGTTTTAACCTTATAAAAGACATCATTATTATCATATGTTCTACATAATTATGGTAATATTTATGATACAAAACATTTTTTTTACTATTTAAGATAAAAAATTGTCTCTATTATCATATGTTGTACAGAATGATAAAATTCAAGATAGATAAAAAGATGTCTCTATTATCGTATTTTCTACATAATGATAATATTTAGTATAAACGTTTTAATTTAATATGAAATTAGTATTTAATTGATAACAATAACAATTTATTTATTTTAATTTTTTTTTTTCTATTTTAATCATATAATTTTGTATATGTAAAACAACTTTAAATTTCAACCTTATCTCTTATAATATAGTTCAACATAATAACAATACTAAAAATTAACTTTTATATTTTTTATAAAATTATTATTTACTTGTTAATAACAATGATTTAGTTATTTTTAATATAAAATATATTTTTATATCTCACGCAATGCACGGGCATTCGCCTAGTTTTACATATAAATTCCCGAAAAAACCTATAGAGTCGCGTCTTTTGCCTGACAACAATCCTTAAAATTTAGGAAACCAAAGTCTTTTGATAAAAACCTATTACACATTTATGCAAGTCTCCATAAAATAATATTTACGTCTGGCCATATTCAACATTCTAAAAATATCTCTTTCCAAAATTTTCAATAAAATAAAAACTTAATCGCGCAATTTATGATCAGGAAACTTATCCATTCCTTTCTTGTAACTTAATAATAATAATAAAAAAATAGAGTCGAATACCATAGATGCGACTTATTAGTGTGACACACCTAAATAAGTTATTGAGATAACGTTTTAAACTAATTTGTAAATATAAAAAGCGTGAAATAATCTCAACCAATGCCATACCATCATGTGTTGATTGTGTTCACAGTTGTTGCCTTCCTTAGTGTTTATACTTTATATATTTGCCACCACCACACTATATGCCACTACAATACAAATATACAACTCAGAAAACGCCGGCCCAGTTATCGACGTAAATGGCCGCTCGAAGACTCTCCGGCGTCCTCTCCCGGTCACTTTCTCTTCGCCCTCTTTCTTCTTCGGTTGTTTCTCGAGGTTAGATGACTCAAAACTGTTTTAGCCATTGAAATTATCATCTGGGTTTTGCTTTTTTATCATCTTTTTAAGTTGGTAGTCTATGTGTTTGATGGAGTTTCTTAGAGATAAGGTAAGGTGACATGCATCGCCGTTTCTTGAAAATTCTAGTTTTCTACTGTCTGGTTGCTCTTGCTCAACATATTGATCCATAAGAAGCTGCAAGCAGAATCATGGCCGAATGAATCTTTAAGACTCAAAAAGTTCATTTTATTGATAAATCTTGAAAAGTGGACCACCTCTTTTTTATAGAATCTGAATCTGGATCATGTTTAATTGAGTTAACCCATGTATTAGTGTAATAACAATTGCTAAATTTGTTGTGGATTGAAATCCTTTTCTTTTGTGATTTGTGGTTCTGTTGTTATTTTCATAGAATTTAAGACGAGCGTACTTGTATTTGTGGGTTTGCTTCGACGAAATTAAGATTACTTCCGACTAAAGTGCTTGCTGTATCCTTTTTTTCCAGTCAAATCATTGTCGGGTCAATCATTACGAAATCTGAACAGTTTTCTTTTTCTTCAGGAAAAAGATCCAACTTGGAAGGCGAATCACGAAGATTCGGTACTGCTGCAGCACTTGAACAACCAATTACTCCATCTGTTCGCATTAATTACACTCAGCTTCTAATAGATGGAAAATTTGTTGATTCAGCATCTGGTAATTCTTTGCTTTATTAGTACTATTTATTTATGATACCTTATAATATTGATGAAATTTCTGAATCTTTATATGTTTATTTCAGGAAAGACATTCCCAACCTTGGATCCACGAACAGGGGAAGTCATTGCCAATGTAGCAGAAGGCGATGCAGAAGATATCAATCGGGCAGTTTCTGCTGCCCGCAAGGCATTCGACGAAGGGCCTTGGCCTAAAATGAGTGCTTATGTAAAACAAACTTTCATTCCATTTTTTTCTATACAAAGGGTTCCAGAGTCTCTAGTCTTAGAGTTTCAATTCCAACGTGGATTGGTTTCCGTGTAGACAGACAGTTAGCTTTTATGCTAGCCAGGCAGTCACTATGTACTTGATTTACATTTCACAAGATATATTTTGACAGTGTTTGCCTGCTCAGGGTTTGCTGAAAGAATAACCGTTTTCCACATTGTAGGAAAGGTCGTGTGTTTTGCTAAGATTCGCGGATTTGGTGGAAAAACACAATGACGACATTGCAGCCCTTGAGACATGGGACAACGGGAAGCCGTATGAACAGGCTGCAAAAGCTGAAGTACCAATGTTGACACGTCTATTTCGCTATTATGCTGGTATATTTATTTATTTAATAACAAAACTGTGTTAATAAATTGTACAAGCTGTACTTGATAAGGTACATATATTTCTTTTTTCAGGTTGGGCGGATAAGATCCATGGGTTAACGGTTCCAGCAGATGGGCCTTACCAAGTGCATACTTTGCATGAACCAATTGGGGTTGCTGGACAGATCATTCCATGGAACTTTCCTCTTCTTATGTTTGCTTGGAAAGTCGGTCCTGCCCTTGCTTGTGGCAACACCATTGTTCTTAAAACAGCTGAACAAACTCCATTGACTGCTCTTTATGTTGCACAATTGCTCCATGAGGTGCCATAATTTTATATTTATTGGAAAAATACCATAATTTTTTTATTTATTTGGGAATATAGTTAAATTGGCTTTTATATGTAGGCGGGTCTTCCTCCTGGTGTACTTAATATAGTTTCAGGATTCGGTCCAACTGCTGGAGCAGCTCTTGCTAGCCATATGGATGTTGATAAGGTAAGTAATTAGTATTTAAATTTTAAATAATTAAATCCTTTTATATTATGCTCTTTAGTATCAAAATTGATAATTCAATGCTTTCATTTGCAGATTGCTTTTACAGGATCAACTGAAACCGGTAAAATTGTGCAAGAATTGGCTGCAAAGAGCAATCTTAAGCCATGTACTTTAGAGCTTGGAGGGAAATCGCCTTTTATTATTTGTGAGGATGCTGATATTGATAAGGCTGTGGAACTAGCTCACTTTGCTCTCTTTTTCAATCAAGTGTGTACTTTTAAATTTTTATATTTTCAATCTTTTTGCTCTCAAAATGTGTGAGCTAATTATTTTAATATATTAGGGACAATGTTGTTGTGCTGGTTCGCGTACATTTGTTCATGAGCGCGTATACGATGAGTTTATAGAGAAATCAAGAGCACGAGCTCAAAGACGAACTGTTGGTGATCCTTTCCAAAAGGGTATTGAACAAGGCCCTCAGGTATTTGCTTTTGGGGTTGTTTTTTTGGACTTAATCTGTACAGAATGACTAAATGGATTAAACTAACAAACCTGGCTTAATGTACACATGTACAATTTTCAGATCGATTCGGAGCAATTTGAGAAGATTTTAAAATACATAAAATCCGGTGTTGAAAGCAATGCGACTCTTGAATGTGGAGGTGACAGATTAGGGTCCAAAGGTTACTACATCCAACCAACCGTTTTCTCGAATGTTCAGGTACAATTTTTACCAATAAACCCTAATTTATCCCTTGACCAAAACGTGTCAAATGTTGACCAGCATTATAATTTATACGTATGCAATTCTCTTGAAACAGGACGATATGCTGATAGCGAAAGATGAGATCTTCGGCCCTGTTCAATCCATCTTGAAATTCAAGTAAATCGCAAATGATCGTATCATAAAATGCTTCATTCTATGATTAAAAACTGAAAAACATCTTTAATCTTATTATAATTTGTGAACAGGGAGATCGATGATGTGATAAAGAGGGCTAATGCGACAAGATATGGACTTGCAGCTGGTGTGTTCACCAAGAACCTTGATACAGCAAACAGATTGACTCGGGCATTGAGGGCTGGGACTATTTGGGTGAATTGTTTTGATGTGTTTGATGCTGCAATTCCTTTTGGAGGGTATAAGATGAGTGGAATTGGAAGGGAGAAGGGTATTTACAGCCTTAATAATTATTTACAGGTGAAGGCTGTTGTTACTGCATTGAAAAATCCAGCTTGGTTGTGATTTCGTGTTACGTTTGATGATGCGACAGTTTTTTTTTATTTTTTATGTGATGTCTGGAGAAGTACTGGATTTGATTCCTCTACTGTTAACACCACTTGTATCAACTTATACAATAACTTGTCTGTTGGTGTGTGGTGTTATATGAATGACACTTTCTTTAATCGGTTTCTTGTACTCCAAATTCGGACCATAATTGCAAAAAAGGAAATGTAAACCGGTGAAATATGTAAAGGGAGAAATATTTCAAGGACTATATTTGTAATTCATTTTTGAAATAGGGACCATAGTTGCAAATGAAATTATTTGGAACATTGAAAGACATAGATTAAGAAATAACTAGTGGACTATTTTTGTAATTCATCCAACTAGCTTCTAGGTGAGATTGGATGAGTGAGGTGTTAGAAAAAGGGATAAATAGATTGCTTGGATTCTTTGAAAGTCGTGATTCACTATCAAATTGAAGTATTTCGATGGTACAGATCGAACACTCAATTGGATGAAATTCAGAGAATGAAATTTGAGAATGTATATGAAAATGTTCTTCAACATGCACCAGAATATTGACCAAAAAACGGAGGGAAAATGACCTTTGAGGGTAATAAAGTATTCGTCTTGTATTTATTAGGTCCCTTATCTTTTTTTTGTCTTTATTATACCATTGAACTTGTAATCCCTGTTCACCAAAGCCCTTGATACCGGTTGTTGTAGGTTACTAGTGATGTGGATATTACGTGGCATTATGTGCCATAAACTGGGCTTATTAATTGCAAAGTTAAGTACTGCATCTTCTTGCCCGTTCTTGCCCTAGATCGACATGTCTTCTTCTTCTTCTTCTATTTCTTCCAAACGAAATGTTGAATTTCAACCTGAAAATCCTTGTTACTGTGGGTTACCATCTCGTGTACGAACTTCACGAACTAAAGACAATCCAGGAAAAAAATTCAGATTGTGCCCTAACTCCATGGTAAAGCAATTGTTTTTTACTTTTCGTTTTATCTTCTTTCTTTCAGCAATTTGTTACTTTTTTCAAGAATGAAGGACCAAAATGCAAGTTCTGGGAATGGTTGGAGCCTGAAACCCCCGAAAATGAAGTCAATTCTGGGAAGGACAAAAAAGAATCGTGCAATTTAACCCTCAAAGTTTCTATATTGGAAAACGAGATCAGCATATGTAAGATGAAGATGGAACAAGAAAATTTGGTTGTTAGACAAGAGTTTGAAAAACTCAAATGGAAGCTATTTACTCATAAAGTTGTGATGATTGTGTTGTTTCTGTTGTTTGTGTTTAAGAAGTAGTTTAGCCCTTAATTTAACCCTTAGTTTAGCTGTATTCAAAGACTAAATGTAATCCTTAATGTTGTAATTTGTTTGATGTATTATGACTAAATCTTTTTGATTAATGATAGTTTGATGTTTTGAGTGCTTTCCAAGAAGTATTAATATGTTTAAAAGGTTAATGAATTGGACATGATGCATGGGTAATATGGTCCAGATTAAATTTGGCAGTCAATTGTTATTGTGTTGATGTGATCCAATGGTAAAATGGTCCAGAATAACCACATTGGATACATCAAACATTTCTTAATGTATTAAGACTAAATCTTGGCATTAATCAATTGTTAATGTGTTGATGTGATCCAAGGGTAAAATGGTCCAGATTAAATTTGGCAGTAATCAATTGTTATTGTGTTGATGTGATCCAAGGGTAAAATGGTCCAGATTAACCACATTGGATACATCAAACATTTCTTAATGTATCAAGACTAAATCTTGGCATTAATCAATTGTTAATGTCTTGATGTGATCCAAGGGTAAAATGGTCCATATTAAATTTGGCAGTAATCAATTGTTAATGTGTTGATGTGATCCAAGGGTAATATGGTCCAGATTAACAACAACAACAACACCAAACTTTGCTTAATGTAGTAATACTAAATTTACTTGATTTATGATAGATAATATAAGATTAAACAATCTATATGCAAATAACCGTACACCAAAGCATATAGATAAAAGACAAAGTTGTAATATTCCATCATCATGTGCACTATTACAAAAGTTGTGCCCACAGTTGTCCTAATATGTCAAAAGATGTGCCATGTGCCCACAGTTGTCCTAATATCCCAATTACATATTTATAAGACTAAAAGTTTGTCTTTCCAAATAAAATCATTCCAACACCATTGGGTTGTGTCCAGTGCTTCCTTCTTTCTTCAAAACCTTCCTCCTCAACCCTATCTTGGTAATTCTTTCTGAGTATTTTCGTATCCTCTGCCTAGTTGCAACTGGTTGAGCAGGGACATCAACATCTGGATGTGGATCATCAACTGGATCCACTGGATCTGCTTGAACTGGATCAACCTGTGGAGCTGGTACTTGAACTGGATCCACTAGATCTGCTTGAACTGGATCCACTTGAACTGGTTCCACTTTACCTGCTATACAAATATGTAGCTAATGAGTTGGATGTTCCATTTAAATTATATTGTTTTAATAGCATACCTTTCTCTTTTTTACATTTTTTAGGTTTCTTGTTTTTTGGCCTTGAAGTGGATGCTACATCTGCTAGTCTAGTAGGACATGTTGATCTATTGTGGCCCCTTTCTCTACAAATACTGCATCTATTAACTGAACCTGCTTTTGAGATAGTATGCCTTGTTTTCCCCTTGCTTTCCATCTCAGATTGATCTTTTTTCCTTTTAAGGGTTGGCCTTCCTGGTAACCTTCTTTTTTGAGGAGGCAATGGCTTCATGTAGGGAGCTTCAGGCCACATGGAACTACCATTAAGTGGGTTAATGGTATGGTTGTAACAAGTCAAGAACATGGCTGTATGGAACCATGGTGCAACATAATCCTCTGCATTCCTGTTAAGGTATGAAATGGCTGCCACTGCATGCACACATGGGATACCTGATACTTGCCAAGATCTACATCCACATGTGTTGTTGTTAAGGTCCACAGCATATCCATCATTTCCAATCCTAACTTCATATTGTTGTATCCCAGATGGTATAACACCCCAAAATCTGCCCAAAAAAATAAGAAGTTCTATTAATCTTATAGATGAGACATATAATATTTATAAAATAGAAGTTATATCATACCTTTGCTGTTTCTTTAGCTTTGATATCTTCAACCTTATAGATGGACATATTTTTAAATTCCCCCAACTTTGTCCCTCTTGCAACATTTTATACATCCTCTCCATTGCATAAATCCTTATCTCTTCCAACATGGTGATGAGTGGCCTTTTCCTAGCAAGATCAATAACAGAGTTGAAACTTTCTGATATGCCATTCTCATAAGCATCACAAGCCCTGTCCACTTCAAAGAATGCCCTGCACCAACTTTTAGGGTCCCTTTCCATGAGGTGTTCATAAGCCAAAGGATCAATTTTTTTTATGGAATTCATTTCTGCCTCAAATTTTGGTTGAGTAGTACTAGCAGCTGCTGCCCAAAACAACTTCCTATATTGTTCACCTTTGAAACTTTTCTTGAAGTTAGCATAGATGTGCCTAGCACATTGTCTATGCTCTGCTGCTGGAACCCTTTCTTTGACACCTCTATTAATCCCTGAAAGAAAGCATGAAATAGATGACATAACAAAAACATTCAACTTAAACAAAACAAAACAGAAATATACCTTGTGTTGGTCTGATATGAGGGTCAATCCATGACCAATTCCCATTTCAATGTCATCCAGAAGGAGGTCAAGAAACCACTTCCATGTTTCCTTATTTTCAACTTCCACCACAGCCCATGCAATAGGGAAGATGTGGTTGTTTGCATCCCTACCCATAGCTGCTAACAGTTGGCCTCTACATATACCCTTTAAAAAACAACCATCTACCCCTATTACCCTCCTACATGCTGCAATCCAACCATCCTTCACACCCTTAAAACAAACATACATTTTAGAAAAGTAGGTTGTGGAATCAGGCATGACATTCACATCTATCTTTACTGTTGAACCAGGATTTGTCCTCATTATTTCTTCTCCATAACTCCATACTTTACCATAATGTTCTATCAAACTACCCTCTATCTCATCCAAAGCATATCTCCTAGCATTTCTACATTGAGTGACACTAACAATCAAGTTAAACTTTGCACTCACTTTGGCCTTCATTTTCCTTATGCTCATTTTAGGGTTCTTCAGAAGTTGATTCTTAAAATGCATTCCAATCCATTTATATGTTACAATGGAACCAAGTTTGAAGACTCTTGAACAGTTATGTTCATCAACTAATGACTTAATTTGGAAAGACCTTTCACTGCTCATCCAGGAAGCCCACAGTCTAAAAGGACAAGAGGGGTTCTTGTTCTCTTTACAACATCTCACTAATAACCTCTGACTATCATTTTTCTCAAAATAAAGGTTGTACCCATTCTTCACTGCATAGTTAGTCAAACAATTTTTCAATTCCATGGGGTTAGAGAATCTCATACCTAGAATTGGCACCATTTTGTCCCATTTCTGGTTCTCATTATGGACAGGGTACACTGGTTTGTCATCTCCATTCTTGGTTTCAACCTCATCAGTTTCAGCCTCATCATTTATATCCTTACACATACCTGACACCCGATGTAAGAATTCATCACCAATAGTCTTGTCAAAAGAAGGAATGTAATCATCTGCTTCATGCTCATATGGAATATCATCAGAAAGTTGTGAATCTTTATCATCATCCAGGTCTTCGTCGAAATAATGCCCTTCATCATCAGCCCAATCAAGTACAGGTTCATTTTCGTGGTCTATATACACATTCATTCTTAGACCGGCTTCATCACTATAACCCGTTTCAATAAACTCAAAGTAGTCAGCATCATTCGAAATTCTCCTAATACCCTCTGCCAATGGTTCATTTCTAGTGCAATAATATACATTATCACAACTGCCTTCAATCAACTTTGCAATGAACAAGTTAAAGTCTTTGAAATCCATTGCACCAAAATCGACATCACAGATTGAAACAACAACAGCGTTCAAGTACACTAACGGTTTTGGTGCGAATAAACCATTATAATGTAAATAAACTGTTAAATACTTACTTTGTTTGGAATCGGAGGCCATCTTCTTCACTATAACACTCGCATTCACCAGTTGTCTTCAATTTCCTAACCGTATGCTTCGATTGAACTTTTTCTTCCCTTAATTAAAAACAACCCTAACTGTAAGGACAAACGGGTGAAAGAGAAACATGTGTTCTAATTCCACGTAATAAGACATGTCATCTCTAATTAAATGTGGTAACCGGTAAAACAGGTGATAACCGGTCACGGTGGCTTTGGTGAACAGGGATTACAAGTTCAATGGTATAATAAAGACAAAAAAAAGATAAGGGACCTAATGAATACAAGACGAATACTTTATTACCCTCAAAGGTCATTTTCCCAAAAACGGATATATCAATCCTGTCTGAAAACTGTCAACAGACAGTTACAAACTGTCATAAAACTACCAAACTGTTATTAAACGGATGTCATGGAATAAATGGTCAACTTTCTAAAATTGGATTTTTGATGCAATTTTTAATATAGCAACATAGTCCAAATAAAAAAATTTCGCGCTGACCTGGCAGCTCGATCCCCGCCAGGGGTTCTGCCCCTTGGACCCCGCCAGGGGTTGCCGCCCCTAGGATCCCGCTCCCAGGGGCGCTGCCCCCGGACCCCGTTCGTTTAGGGGCTTCGCCCCTAAATAGCAATGTACTTTAAATCTTGAAAAACCTGAATAAGTGTGCACTCCTACACCATCCTAACTTGTTCAATATTCAACAAGATCACTTTTGGTCAACAAATTTAATCCTATTACACTTAAATAATATTTGATGATATAAAATCACCAACATGAGGGACCATAATCGATGAGTTTTAGATAATATCAGTTTCAGTTATCGGTTGTAGTCGGTTGTTGGTTAATATTTGTTATTCATTACGGTGAAAATTGACTAATATCCTAAAAAAAATTACATTGTTATAAAAAACAGAAAGTACATTGCAAATTTAATAATAACTTTGACACATAATGGAGGGCTTATGTAATCATGTTAAATGAAAGAATTAGTAACGAACTTGTAACATCCGCAGTTTGGGGTAAATGTTTTAACCCTTAACATAAAATTTGCATAAATGAAAATTATTTCTAAATTAAATAATTTAACCCTTACCAAAGTGTTTCTAGCCCGACGTATCTGGTGTTGCCCTCCCTCATTAAGGTTGAGGGTTCAAGTCACGCAGTAGACATAAGTAGAATAATTTGGGTGTAGTTTAATATATATTGTCGTTTAAAAAATAAATAAATAAATAAAAATAATTGATCTTCAGGGACTTTGAAGTTTTAGAAAATCGTGGTTAAGAATGTTTGGATTGTTGAGAGTCGTGAATTACACTTTTAGATTAAAGCATTTCGATGGTATACTCGAAAAATGCTAATTGGATAAAACTCAGTATGAGATCAAGAAATGAGAATATGGATGTTATGTCGTGTATATATTAGAATAATGACCAAAAACAAGTATATCAACCAATATCCAAAAACTAACGAAAACTGTCATAAAACATTTTCATAACTATTAAAAAAACTATCACTAAATCGGGTTTATAAGTAGGATAAAAATCGGGATAAAATTAATAAATTTGGATTTTCATGCATTTTTTATAAAACAATATCGATCTCACCAAGGGTTGCCACCCCTTGGACCCCGCTATCAGGGGCGCTATCCCTGGACCCCCATCAGTTCAGGAGTTTCACCAACAGTGTACTTTAAATCTAAATAAACCCGAACGAGTGTCCACTCTAAACCAACTTTACTTGGTCAATATTTATTAAGATTACATTGGTCAACAAGTTAATCTCATTAAACTTAACTAGCATTGGTGATACAAATCACCAACAAAATTATGATAGAAGGTAACCCTAGGTTATAAAGAAAATTTGAATGTAGAGATGTTGATCTTGTAAATTATTGAAATTAAGGTATGAATTTGACTTAACTTAGTAAACTATATTTTAGACCGACATTGTTAATATATTAACATTCTCGTGTTAAAGTTAGACTTGCCAAGTTAGAAACGTTAATTGACTATCATTTTTCATAAAAATCAAAGTTTAGGAAGTTAAGGGACTTACGTTGCTAGGTGAGGAAAGTTTAGAACTAAGAACCCCAAACCCTCCATTTATTTTCGTTTCAAACGTAAGAGAGTTTGGAGATGAGAAGAAAATCAGAGTTTTGAGTGTGATTTGAAGTAAATAGTGGAATTGAAGCTCTATTGAAGTTCCAACACTTGATCATTGAAGAAAAATATTGGAATGCAACAATTTCACCATCTTTTGATCGATTAAGCTTTATAGAATTGTGAGCCATCATTAAATCTGAATCCATTGATGAACTTCATGATTAGTTCAAGTTTAGTATTAAACTATAAGCTTATACACTAATGTAATGATGTAAGTTTATCTACATAGTAAAAAAATGAGGTATGAAGCTTTAATGGTGGTTTTGAAACCTAGATTCATGAATTCAACTATGAGTCTAATTGAATTCAATATTAGTCACTATAACATTAAAAAATTTGGATGTTTAGAAAGTGAGAAAAAAATAAAAATAAGTTGGAAAATGACAATAATGGCAATAAGAGCAAAATGATCAAAAAGTGTAAACCGGTTATTTTACATAACCAACAATGGACATAATAGTAAATATGGCCATTATTTGGAGTTATAAGAGTTTTACATGAATATAGTATAAATGAAGCAAGTACAAGGGCAAAAAATGGAAAAAAAAATATATGAAATTGCAATTTCATATAAAACTGATAAAGTGCCAACTTTGAGGCCTTAAAAGCTAAGCTTAGAGGCAAGGTAAGGAAAAAAGATACAACGGTAGCTTGTAGTAGACTTGAAAATGAAGCAATAGAAAAAACAATCCGATTAAAAGGAGTTCATACGAAGAATCTACAATGTTGCAAAGTTAGACAAAAAGTTAATGAAAGCTGATTTTGAAATTTGACAGCTTCAAGGTGCCAAATTTGGAGCTCAATAAGTCAATATCTATAGATAATTAGAAAGAACATTGTTATGGAAAGTTTTAGTCCATAAAACAAAGAATACACAGAAAAAAGAATCAGACAAAATGGGTGTGTAATGAATGAGATATGGTCGTTTGAAAATTGTTGATTTAACACTCAAAATGTTGTAATATTCCAACTTGCCATGTTCATGGTTGAATAACCTCATTTCTGGACATATTTAGCTAAAACACATAACATAAAACTTGTAGTACTTTCCAACGATATAAAGTTTTCCCAAACCGGAGTTTATATGGCCGAGTTATGAAGATGGAAAGATGGGGAAAAAATTGCTCGGAAATTATGGGAAGCAAGGGGATTTTCAGAATTTTTATTGAAAGTAGAATACTAGGGTTAAGATGCAGCGAGCATTCTTCTGTGTTCGCCAAATTAAAACAGAACACACACACACAATTAATGTGTGTGTGCATGCTCGTGCCATAACCAGCAAGAAGAGAGGGAAAGAGACCTTTGTCTCTCTATTCCCATTGTGTGTGTGCGCGTATTTGGATACAAGAAAGACCGGGCCGTGGGGAAGCTGGGCAATAACCCCGGGCCTCGCCAAATCTCGGGCCCCAAATAGTGATTTATATATATATATATATATATATATATATATATATATATATATATATATATATATATATATATATAGGGTTAGGTTCATGTGAGACGGCTTAATTTTGTGAGACCGTGAGACGCATTTTTTAATTTTTTTAATTTTTTTTAGTTAATTCAAGTTCCAAAAATAATATTTAAAAAAAGAATTTTTTGATTTTTCCATTTATTTTGCATTTTAAAATTATTTTTAGAATATGTATAATGTAATATTCTATTTAGAATATTTCACGTATTTTTTAAAAAATAATAGGATTTTTTTTTTATTTTTTATTTTTTTTTATTTTTTTTAGTTAATTCAAGTTCCGAAAATAATATTAAAAAAAAAAGAATTTTTAGATTTTTCCATTTATTTTTCATTTTAAATTATTTTTTTGAATATGTCAGTGTAATATTCTATTTAGAATATTTCACGTATTTAAAAAAAAAAAAACGGGATTTTTTTGTTATTTTTCTTAGTTAATTCAAGTTCCGAAAATAATATTTTAAAAAAAATAATATTTGGATTTTTCCATTTATTTTGCATTTTAAAATTATTTTTAGATTTGATCTCACAGTCTCACAAAATTAGAATGGTCTCAAATGAACCTGAATATATATATATATATTTTTGAGATGATAAAAAATATATTTTTCCCTAAAATAACTAAAGACATTTGTAGTTCATCTAGTTGAAGTGTAGAAGTGGTTTTCCATGTTTGAACCTTTTACAACTCTAGAAGAGATCTTTTTTATATATATTTTTTACTCAAATGTTAAGTCCCCTCTAAAAATACAAGCTAGCAAAAACTGTTGAAATTCCAAATGTTTAAACATATATATATTTTTTTTTTTTTCAAAAGTGCACTCTGCAAATGTACCCTATCAAAAATTTGGATTTAGCAGCAATATTTCTATGTTGTTATACAAATTCAAATGGAAAGATCATAAAAAATTATGAAGAGAATATTATTAGTTCATATCGGCAGCTTCCGAAAGGAGAATAAATTTTGATTCAACAACAAAGCGTCATTATTTTTTGTGACCTTTGCATGTGGTTGATTTAATCAAGTAGATTATGTTAGGTTTAGGTTTGCTTCTATAAGGTGATTTTTACGAGATTTTTTTATTTTGTTTTATTATATTAACTTTATCTTTTATATAATTAGTATTTAATCACAGCACGCGGTGTGTCGGAGAACTGATTTGCAAAGTGTACCACAGTTTATAAAAATAAAGTTTCGATCCAAACAATTATGTATGAGGAAGTAAATAATAATTAAGAAATTATATTAATAAAAATGAAAACTATAAAAACAAAGTTTGTAAGGGATCAAAGACAAATTTAAAATAATATATTAAGTTTTTAAAATTAACAAAATTTTCCAATGTGCGACAGGGAAGGGTCTC